ACCCGTGTTTTATAAAAATGACAAATAGTTTACTAATATACTGCTACTGCATAACTCAATAGGAACATAAAATTGTAAAAACTAGTTACTGAATTTCACCCGTGTTTTATAAAAATGACAAATAGTATACTAATATACTGCTTCTGCATAACTCAATAGGGTATTTCGGGTAAGCGGAGCGGCGGAAACGGATCCGGCCAGTTCACCGCTGGTTGCATCTCTGCTGCTGATGCGCGGGGGAGAGGGAGAGGCTGTGGGGCGGCGCGGAGTCTACTGCGCATGTGCAGTTCGCAGGCTGAGACGGATCCAGCAGCCGCTCGGCCGTTCCGTTTCCGCTGCTTCGCTTACCCGAAATACCCTATTGGAACATAAAATTGTAAAAACTAAGGTCAAAGGATACTAACAGTACTTAACTTAGATATTTAACTTCAGACACAAAAATCCTGATAACTCAAGCAGCACATAATAATTAAGAACTAATGGTATATAAACACATGAAACAAAAAGCAAGAGTGCTAAAAGCATTTAAATCATTTCAAATACAAATCATGCAAAACTCATATGGATAAAAATGAAAAACTAAGGGAGTAGAAGAACACGAACACACTTATCTTATGTGAAACAATAAATAGCAATTCACAGTACAAATATTGAACTAATTTCCGACTGACTTCGAAAGTTCACAAAACATCAGTAAACAAGTGTGTGGAGCAAATAAATCCTGACTCACAAGAATTCTTGTTCTTGTTCATGTTCATCTACATTCTCTGGTTGGCCTGCTCCCAATTCATTTAAAATTTCATCTGCATTAATCGGTGCATCAAGCATCTGCACAATACTGTTCTCAAGAGTTCTTTGCAATTCAAGAACCAGATTGGTGCTTCTTTCCACTGACTAAAAGTAGAGGAATGCACATTAAAATTTGGGTAAAAGGAATACTCCAGGCTAAAAATAACTCCTAATAAATATTCAATACCTCAGAGAGCCTTGTAATTTCAGATGTTAGTTCAGAGATGTCATTAGCTGTTGAGCTGCTCAGCTGCTGGGCTGCTGGACTTTGGCTAGCTGCTGAAAATGGTGAGTCGGACCGCGGCATGGCGGAGGACGACCTACGCCCTAGAGGAGAAATGGAAACCCTGGGGCGCTTGGGCGCAACAGGTGTGCTGAGGGGCGATGTCCCTGATTCCTCATACCTATCTTCATCCTGTAAAAAGAAATGTAACAATGAGAAAGCGTTGCTTGTGAGAGAACATAAAATTAATTAGAAATTATACAACGTGCTACTCACTCTGCCAGCTGCCCCAGAGAATGCAGCTTCCCAACAAATGATATTCATTATGGTGTCACACTCAGGGTTCTTAGTGGTGTAATTCACTTCACCATCTGGTGAACTGCTTAGGGTATGGGAAAGGATAGCTTGAGCTTTCTTGATTGCGTAATTGCAGCAATCATTCCATGTCTAAAATTGAAGGTACCACAATTATCAGTATCACGAATAGAGATATGCAAACCTACAGCAAATACCATAATTGGTAGATAAAGAAGTCTATTTGAACTTGCTCGCATCCACTTGTGCTAAGGTTTTGTCCCCCCGGGGAGTTGGTGCAGCACAGTAGAAACTCTAGTCCAGAATGCTTCAATCTCGTCTCTGTGTTTGGTGCAAGCTTGGATATTTGCATATTCCCTGTAGCTGGGGTAAGCCATGAGCTTTAAAAGCTTGTCTTTTTGGACCTTAGACATGGTTTCTGACCTGGGCTTCTCCTGCTTCTGGGACATGCGGAATACGTGAGCTGTAACAATATACAAATGTTGATGGGAACCAAAGAGTACACTGTGAAAAATATCGTCGTAAATTTACAAAAATTTTGTAAACTCGAATTATAACTGAAGTTGTAAATTTATGACAGCACATTTTTTACTCGCCAAGGGATTTAAAGTCGATACATACTGCATGTATTTTTACGATTTCAAATTGTAATTTTACAACTTGTGTCAAGGAAAATTTTCCTGTAAACCTACCTACTTTTTTTCACAGTGTATTATTATTAATTGCTCATCATCAAACAACGATCACACATTTGCACACGCGAGGAAGCGATGCACATTTCAATAGAGTAATGAGAAAGAATCAACGCGTACGAACGTTTCTTGACAAGGTTAGGTCTCGCACGAATTCAAGAAATCTTAAGACTGAAAATGGTGAGTCAGACTTTAGGAGTGAGGTTTTAGTGCCTCACTTCATGATGTTACGGCAGGTGACGATAGGAAATGAGGCAGAGATAATCGTGTTTGGCGTAGTTTTGGCTTTCCAGGGGAACACGCTACGGTCCCGAGTCACTGTCGCTAATTTTATCAAAGCCTTACATCGCGTATTTGAGTCCTATCACTTTCGACGCGTTTGTTTTAATTACAGGAGGTAAAGATCACTACAAACTTACACGGCATGATGATAAAACTGATCAAAATCAGGAAGAAAGGGAGCTGGACGCGAAGTAAAGATCACTGCCTAGTCACTTTGTGTGAAGTCGTGAGATTTTGGCGCCAATTCGCTGTTAGTCGGGTTTCAGCGGTTTGAGTGCTAACGAACTTCGCCGCTTGGAGCGCTAGTCGCTAGTCTGCTACACGGGCCGCGATATGAGAAACCAGGCGCAACGCTGTCATGGAGCCTGAGCGAAAACAAATGAGAAGTTGTCTCCCTCACTCTCCACTCTCTGGGACGCCCACGACAGACGATAGACCAGACGACAGATAGTGAGTGGCCCTCACCCCAGACTAGTTTACTTTATTCGTGACTCCAACGAATCATGATTTGTCTGTTCTGGATATTGCCTCTATTGCCTAATAATAGTGTAGTGTTCCATTTCTAAAGCCGAAAAATACCAAGGTTACATTGCATACCTCACAGTTGCTGTTCGTGTCGCCGGATAGCGAGGAACTCCACCAAGCGGTTCCTCGCTACTGCAGCAACTTGTCCAACATTTCTTTCATTTGGTTCGACGACCAGCTGGGCATCGACCGCATCCTTGTCAGCTGCTTCGTTTTCAGCTTCATCCTCCTGTGCCACCCAGGGAATGCCTTCCTCTTCTCCTTCCTCTGGCTCCGGTGGAGGTAAACGAGCCTGATAACAACGGTCACATTTGAAGATTCCCATACATTATTCTGCCCATCAAAACATGTCTTACATCGTCTTACATTCATGCAAATGTTGTGGAGTAAACAACAGGCCTTTACTATCTGCCCTGCTCTCTGCCCTGTGTAGTGGAGGACTCTGTCTTTTAAAAGACAACGGAACCTGGCCTTGAGGACTCCAATACACCGTTCAACACAGTTTCTGGACTTGCAGTGCCTCTGTGTGAAGTATTAAGTATTCGTCATTTGAGCCAGGAGCCGAATCTAATATGGGAATCAGACACCACGGCTCTAGTGTGTAACCACTGTCACCTGAAATTAAACAAGGAATTAGTACATATCTTGTTACTCTATCTTCCCATTTGCACTAAGTGGAATAATAATAATAATAATATGCTTAGAGTGTCAGTTAACATACCAAGTAACCAGCCTGGTCCTTCAGCATATGCACTTTTCATACGCCTGCGAGCAGCAGAATTCTTAAATATGTACTTATCAGTACACGAGCCAGGATGATTGGCAACAGTGTTCAAAATTTTCAGATCACAGCCACAAATCTGAAACAGGTATTAATGACCACTAATTAGCAGCAATTTATTAAATAATCCCTCTTTTCATTGGTGTTATTTTCTTTCTCATTTGTCTTACTATTTGACAGTTGAGTGCATAGTGATGCTTGCGTGTCCAGTATGATTGAGGATTTTTATCTTTTGCAGGAGTCACTATGCTTATCTCAGTACCATCACCATCAACGTATCCCAGCACTTCAGGAATACCGAATTTGGCAAAGTTTCTGAAATCAAAGTTATTAACGAATGCAAATCATTAGTTTCTCATATCTCCTTGAAGATGGGCACTGTAACTTACCTATCAATAATTTCCTGCCTCTCTTGGTTAGTTTTGGGAAATTTAATGAACTTCCTTTGTATTTCGGGTATGTTCAGAGCCTTTGTTACTCCCCGTTTGCAACGGCAACGGCAGAGAAAAGTAAAGGGGTGACCAAACGAGAACGTCAAGAAGTGCTCAACCAAGTAAAAGAAAAGGTCCTCTCCGGGGAATACCAGCACGTACCTCAGGCGTCCAACTGCCATGCGAAATGCTGGAAGCTGTTTGAGTTGGTCGTCGAGCCGGTACCCGGGGAACCACGGCCCGAGGACACAGGTTTCGTCCACTGTCGTGTGTGTGACGAACACGTCAAGTGGTCAGGTATGATGTCACCTACGGGGTCAATTATTGTCGATAGAGCCGGGTCAACGTGCACTGTTAAAAAAATCGATTGTAATTTTACAAATTTTGTTGGCAACTTTTTACGCAATTCAATGTTTGTAAAATTACAAACTAAAACACTTGTAAAAAAAATTGCAAACGTGTTTTGAAATTTCACAATCTGCGATCTGAAAATTAAAAACGTTAATGTGAATTTTAAAACATCAAGGTTTATAAGATTGAAATTATTTGCCATGAACATGGAGTAGGTGAACCACAGACGGTCTAGGGATCAGATCGTTGGGCTGAAGAAGTGTGAGTTACCTCTAGGATAAAGTCACAGCAAAAATACGGGGGCGCTTCACAGGCGCCCCCTACTGAACGGATGCGAACGGCGCCGTACCTAACTAAGGAGAGGTAGCGGGGACCGGCGCGCGCTGGAATTAGACCAATTATTTGGAGCACTTGGTTGCAAAATTGACAATGTTATGAAATTTCCCAACCACGTTTGCAATTTTACAACTGATTTTGATGTGAAATTTCACAACTTTTTTAACAGTGTGTCACAAGCGGTACGGTGGGGCGGATGCTGCGCGCTGCTATCACGGGCCAGCGCCCAGCGCCCCGGGACGGTGCAGGTGCAGGTGCAACTGTGCCATTCAACATTCACCCCGCCCCGCGCCTCCGCGCCTCCGCGCCTCCGCGCCTCCGCGCCTCCGCGCCTCCGCGCC